TCCCCCCCCCCCCCCCCGCCACTAACCCTGCCGTGGATAGTCATTTCATCCCCCATTGATTGAAAAACGTTCTTAAAAAAGACTTTTAATGCTTATTGGCTGTTCATAGGCAAGCATTATTTTTTTTTTAAATAGCATTATTCCCTCTCATCAAATAATTATTCAATATAATGCTACCACATTCATTACTGAAAAATCCTGTTTCTCCTGGAGAGACTTTTTATTACCCTTTGGGAAGGATTATACGTGGCCTCGCCCTTCTCCGTGTGTCCCACCACCCCGCAGTTAGAGGCTTTTATTCTTTAAATCGTTTTTATGAACAAAAACTGAAGAGGAGAAATTAGGTCCCGGGGTTTGAATAGCGGTGGAATTTAAGAAGCCGGCACCTCCGGAGGGGTCACGGCAAAGTCCTTTTTTGTTTTTGTTTTTTTTTTTCCTTCACAGGCCTCCAGTCACCATCTGTCACATATTTCAAATAAAAGGGTTTGTCATCAGCCCAACGGCGTTTAACCCTGGCTGAGGAGAAGCCCAAGGAGCCAGCTCAGTGTGACACATCTCCTGCTGAGAACCTCTGCTGGCCATAAACGGCTCTTTACCTCTTCATGTTATTGATTTACTCATTGATTTCCAACACATAATTATGTGGTTGATTTCTAATACAGGGCACCAATAATTTCAAGGATTTCAATGACCGTATCGTGACAGCACGAGCTCTGGACAGACCTTACTCTGGACCGTGCCCTCAACAGGCAGCCGTCAGTTGTTTCATCCCCACTTTGTCAAACAGATGCTTGTTGCTCTCTCCTGGGACCCTCCGTGGGCTCCTGGGGTTCCAGTTACCACCTTCATCTCTCAGCGGGTTCTTCAAATGCTGTTCTTCCCCATTCAGCAGGAAATGAGACGATACCTACATGTTCGCATTCAATTTAAAGTCTCGTGGCTGCTTTCCTGCAACAAAACTGATGGTGAGGGTATAAAATCCAACAATCCACGTTTTTGGTAAAATTATCTACAGTGGACACTGGATTAATCATGTTTTTCTGCTCTTCAAGTTCTTCTACAAACTTCAAGTTGGAGAACACTAGATACGCTTTAAATCACTAAGTTGTTTTCTGAACAAACACGTTGATTTTTACCCCATTCCCTATTTTTTTCCTCCTCTGAGCTCTGGCCTCCCCCCGGCCTAACGCTTGCTCCAGGAATCTGGAGCTGGACATCGGGAACTCGTTTTCTCCATGAGTGGCCACCAAATCTCAGGGGTCTCTGGCCACACCTCGAGGCAACATACAGCTGAAGACAAAGCTCTTGCTGAGCCAGTTCTGTACGAAGCCTTCACAAGTCTGGGAAGAAAGAATTGCAAAGTGTATTTTATGCTTTTAATACTAATTTTTTATTATTTTATGACAGTAACTTCTAACTTATTCACAAGTTTAATGTATTTCAGATAACTAGCAAAGTCAAAATTAGTATTAAATTTCAGGCTACATCTGTACAGAAGATTCCACACCCGCCGAGGCCAACAGAAAAACACAGGCAGAGTGAAATGTACTCTGAATCAAGTATAGACAGAATAAGGTTAATTAAGTGATTTCAAAGAACTCAAGCACATCGATCTTCTCACCATTTTTTACAGGAAAACTGGATTAACCATGAATAAAATGAACTTTGCTATTTAGTAAAAAAAGAAGGACATTGGACAACAAAAGTGAAAACAAACAAAATATATACAAAGCAACATAAGCTAAAGTAAGACAAAGTGATTGAGTTGCTCATTTCCTCCCGTGGCTTCTGTATCTTCCGTCTGTGGAGCAGCTTGTCCTGGCTTCAAGGACACACAAGCTGCCTCTTCGCAACGTCTGGGAAGTGGTAAGAAGCCCCAAAATTTCAGAAATGGGGTTGAAATTCAGTATTGATGCAAACAGACCTATTTCTCGTCAGAACCTTGACAATGGCATCACTGTCTCACTCGTCTTTAAGGAGTTCCTACCTCTTGGTTTTTAAAAGAAGGACACCTCAGCCTGAACGAGATGCTGCTGGTGCAAATCCACTCCTTCGGGAAACTGGTACAAAGTCCTCACAGCCAAAAATGTCGACTCTGAACTGGTATCAGTGTGGAAACTCTAATTAGACATTCTTATAGGTAGATTATTTAAGTAATCAAAATAAACAAATGCTGCACCGTGTTCAGAGGTAATGCTCCTAAGGCCCGGAAGGTACATGCACAGCCAGGTTATCCAACCCAAAATTTATTCCCAATCACCATTTTCAGAGTTACATTTCACAGAAAACCAAGGCTTTTTCCTCTCTCTGCTTCCCTGGGGAAGTGCTAAATAAGTGCAAACTGACACAGCTCAACATCTTTCAGTCTGGACGCTGGCAGAGTTGGAGGAGTAAGGGATTAGGGGAGGCACTTCTGGAAAGATACACCCCAATCATCTTAAGCAAGCTGTCTAAATGGTTTTTATTGTCTTTTCAGCATTTCCATTACAATAACTGCTCGTGCTTCTTCAGCTTGTTGCTTTTCTTTTCGACATCTTTCAGCACATCTTGCAGTTTCTTGGAGTGCTGCATCAAGAACGCAAAGCTTTCTTTGAAGTTGCCGGTCCCGTGCTCCCTGCAGATATTGTCCAGCCCATCAAACCACTGCAAAATCTTCTCAAGCTCGGCCCGAACGACGTCCTGCTCTTCCAGCTCTGCCCTCAGCGCCTGCCCGGCGGCGGCCTCGGCCCTGTACTGCTGCTGCAGCTGCTGGATCTCCTCCTGAAGCGCCTGGAACTGCTCCTTGCTGTAGGGATACTGCTCGTGGACCTTGTCCTCGGGAAGGAGCACGTTCTCGGGGATGTTTAAGACCAGCTGCAGCAGCACTTCTTCCATTTTACTGAAGAGCTTGTCAAAGTGCTCCTTCATGAAGAGAAGGAATTTCTCCGTGCTCTTCCGGATTTGGCTGGGGCTGATCTTACAGCCGGGGATCCCATCCAGCTTCTTCAGGATCACGCTCTCCACCACCAGCATCATCTCGAAGAGGTAGTCCTGGAAGGCGATGTAGACGCGCAGCATGCAGGTCTGGGGGGTGAAGCCGAAGAACTGTGCTTCGTAGGCCATGGGATTGACCGACATGGCGGCGGCGGGAAGGGAGGGAGGGAAGGAAGGAGAGCGAACCCCAGGCCCCGGGGCGGCGGGCCTGGCTGCGGGCGGGAGGGCCGAGCCCGGGGCTGAGGAGAAGCTCAGTGCAGCCGCGGCCTCCCCCGCTGTTACCCGGGGCACTGGGGCCGTTCCTGCCGCTCCGGAGCCGCCGCCGCTCCGCTCCTCCGCCGCTTCCCGCCTCGTTCGAACTCCCTCAGGAGGGCAGCCCCGCCGGCAGCCAATCAGCGGCCTCGAAGGTCAACGGGCGGCCCAATCACCACCCGCGCCAGCCCTCGGGGGGACGGGCAAAGCGAGGAGCCGGCGCCGATTGGCTCCGCCGGCGGTTGGCGGTGCGCGCAGGCGCAGAGGGGCGGCGGAAGCGGAAGCGGCGCCGGGGGTGGGGGGGAGCGCTAAGATGGCGTACCAGACCTTCCGGCAGGAGTACCTGCAGGTGCCGCCCGTGACGCGGGCCTACACCACGGCCTGCGTCCTCACCACCGCTGCCGTGGTGAGTGGGGTCGCCCCGGCACTGCCGGACGCGCTCCTGCCGGTCCCGCTGAGGGCCCGGCCCGTGGGCGGTGGGGCCGGCCCTGGGCGGCCGCTCCCTCCCTGAGAGTGGCGGAGGGTGGCCGGGCAGGGGTGTGAGGGCTGTTGGAGCCGAGCCGGTGGGCTGGGGAGAGGAGTGGGCTTGGGAGCCGCGGGAGGGGGTTACCTGGGACGCCCACCCCGACCCAGGGCCGCGTCTCTTCCCCTTAGGGCCTTGCGAGCGGCCGTGAGACCTGGAGAGGAGCAGAGCACAAATAAATAATAATAAATAATAATAAATAATAATAAATAATAATAAATAATAATAAATAACCTGAGGGGGGCTGGCGAGGTTGTCAAGGCTGGGTTTTGCTAGAAAGCGCGGTGACTGCAGTCTCCTTGGGCTCTTTTTGACAGAGAAAGGGGGTTAATTATTTGGGTGTGTATTGCTTCTTGTTAGTGTGTTGATTCCAGTAAACGTTCTCTTCTTTTTCAGCAATTAGAACTAATCACACCCTTCCAGCTGTATTTCAACCCTGAGCTAATATTTAAACACTTTCAAGTAAGTGTTTTCTAAAGTATGGGAGGTTTTTAAGTAAATGGGTGGGTTTGGAAATGCTTGTCCTCTCAGAATTGAGTGTTGCAAGTGACTATGGCTTTTCATATTGAAATTATATCTTAAAAAAGCTGCTGGAGCTTGAGTGCAGATCACTGTGTCTTATTCATTGACTGTAAAAGATATGTCAGTTATGCTGTTGCTTGTATTTAGACAATAAAAATTAGTTCTCATGTTTAAAAACCTTGTATTTGTCTTATTTCCAGGTATGGAGGTTAATCACAAACTACTTATTCTTTGGACCAGTTGGCTTTAATTTTTTATTTAACATGATCTTTTTGTATCCTTCATCAAGTTGGGTTTTTTCCCTTGGAAGGCAGAGCTCCAGAGTACAGGAGTGTTGCTGTACGTGCTTATAGGCAGAGGTTTGGTTCCGCTCCACCGTGAAGCTCCCGGGAGTTTAACGATGTCGCCTTCACTGGTGTCAGGAATGGACATCAACAGAATCTCCTTCATAAGTTTTCAGGAATTTTGCCTTTTATTTTTGTGGTGTTAAGACTTGGTTGTACAAGCCTGATCTGTCAGGCTCCTTCTGACATAGGGGAGAAAATTCAAAGTAACGTGGTGTAATTGACCTGAAACTTACATCTAAGCTCGTGTAGAATTGAATCCTTTTCTGCTTGGATCTCTCTTTAAACTCATTTGCAATCAAATTTTCCTGACCTACAACTTCAGATATCGTTACTGCCGAATGCTTGAAGAAGGCTCTTTTCGAGGTCGGACGGCAGATTTTGTATTTATGTTCCTTTTTGGAGGACTTTTAATGACTGTATCCTTTTTTTTTTTTTGTAATTACCAACTGCTTTAGTAAAGCTGAAGATACGTGAATGAGAACTGAAACCAGGATGTTACTTTTATCTTAATCCTTAAATGATAATATATGTTGTTTGTAGCGCGAGGGACAAGAATATTTGTTAGGTTTGAATGCTTTGTGACTTGCTGTTAAATACTGGACTCATCTTTCACACTTTTTACTGCTTGACAGGATTATGGAAATGAGATTAGGAGCTAAGAGGGGACCTCTCAGGTGTGTAATCATGCTCAAGTTGTTTAAGAGAAATGCTGGTGCTTTAGTGATTTCATGCTAAATTATACTTTAAAGAGATTATTTGTGCTGCAGATACCCTGAATCCTGCTATGGGTGTTGAGTTTGATTGACAGTAGGTTTGATCTACTTGAACCTGGGAAAACAGAGTTAGCTGTTGTATGGAAAACATGGAATTACAGCTTAATCTGTGAAATTCTTCTCGTGCTTGAGCTCACAGCAATTACTGGGTGAACTGTTTTTCTTTAACTACCCGTCCCAGGTTTTTGGCCTGTTTGTGAACTTGGTTTTCTTGGGTCAGGCATTCACAATAATGCTCGTGTACGTGTGGAGCCGCAGGAATCCCTACGTCCGGATGAACTTTTTTGGCCTTCTCATCTTTCAAGCCCCGTTTCTACCCTGGGTATTGATGGGCTTTTCGCTACTTTTGGGGAACTCCATCATCGTGGATCTCCTGGGTAAGGAATTGCAAGAATCGGAATGTTTTGTTCCTGCTGGTGTTTTACATGAAACGAAAAATGTGGAAAAACCAAAGGGCTAAATGCCTCTTAATTAAGTATTAGTCTGGTATAATGGTGTTATATTTATACCAGGCTGTTCTTGCTTTCTAAACACTGTAGCGTATTTTATACTGTAACAAGGATGCAAAGATGATGCTTTGGCTTCTTATTACTTGGAATCAGCCCAGGTATAACCTGATTGTGGGCATCAAGCTATTGAAGTAAAATAGCTTATATTGCTGGTTTTATCAATGCTAATGAAGCCATACCATCAGTATGTTTCATAATGACAAGCAGTTTTCCTTGTATTAATGTCTTGTGGCGTAAGTTAAGCTTTTCATCTGATATCAATGTGCTTCATTGTTTTTTGTATTCCTTATCATAATTTCTTTGAAAGAATCGCTGTGTGGTTTTGTGGTTGGTTTTGTGGTGGTTGTTTTTTTTTTTCCCCTGAAAACTCTAGTGAAGCATTTGAAAGTGGTAAAGGAGAAGTATTGAAAATCACCATTTGACTTTTCTTTATGTACTAGGCATTGCCGTTGGGCACATATATTTTTTCTTAGAGGATGTCTTTCCCAATCAGCCCGGTGGTAGAAGACTTCTGAGAACACCATCTGTCCTGTAAGTATCAGTGTCTTGATTTGGAACAGATGCAGAAAAAATGCTTGTGTGGAAAACTGTTTATAATTCAGTCACATCAACTGCTGGTGAATTAGTCTGAGACAGAATTGGGCTGTGTCTGTACTTGCTCTTTTAGTTAAGTCTTGTGTTGCCAAAAAAAGGAGGGAGGCCTTTCAGGTGTGTAAGTGGGAACTAACATCTTGTGGAGAAAGGCTAAAGATGTCTTGTAATCCTTAATTTCTTTGGTACCAATTTTTAGTCTCTGCTACCTGAGCTTTGCCTGTTGGTGGCACCAAAGATGTGTCTCTTACTGAGGTGTGAGGAGTAAGAAGAGTCTTGCTGTGTCTGAACAGGGTGACTGAGGCATAAATATAGCTAATATTTTTTTCATCTATGAATCCTTCTCTATTTCACAACTTTGGCAAAAGATTTCAGTGTCTGTACTGTTGAGTGGGGCTGTTCCTACTCAGTTCCCTCTTGTGCAGAAGGCTGTGATCACCTGTAGTGCTGCCCAGCAGCCTGGGGGAGAGCAGTTTGCCTAAACCACAGGGCAGTTGAGACACTGGAAGTTGAGCTCCATCAGACTCTTAGAATTGTCTAGAGCTGAACTGATTCTCTTTTTTGTTTGTTTGTTTGAATTGGACTCCAGAAGCCTGGATAATTAAAATGTCATATTCAGACCCGCGCTTAGTTTAACTGATGGGTCATTCCTGTTTGATTGGACACGTGCACTTACATGGATGGTTTATTTTTGTTCAGTATAGACTTTGTCTTCAGCAAGTAGTTGTACAGCTGATGGCTGCAGAGGAATGGCTGTCCCAGAGCAGCTGCACTGGGTGCTTCTGTGGACCTGTGCTGATCTCACTTGGCCTTAGAAGATGAAGGCCATTTCTGGCAAGAGCTACCTTCATATAAATGCGCCTTTGGAGAAATCAGGTCTCCAACAACACACGTGCAATAAGTAATATTTGCGATTTTGCATTTTCCCAGAGGGTGCAGGAGGATCCCAAGGTTATTGGAGCAGCGTGTGCTGTCTCAGTAACTCTCTTCCTCTGTGGAAGAAGCGTGAGCCAAACTGGACATTCATAAGTCCATGGGGCCTGATGGGTTGCACCCACGAGTGCTGAGGGAGCTGGCAGACGTTATCGCTGGACCACTCTCGATCATCTTTGAGAAGTCGTGGAGAACAGGAGAGGTGCCTGAGGACTGGAGGAAGGCCAACATCACTCCAGTCTTCAAAAAGGGCAAGAAGGAGGACCCTGGGAACTACAGACCAGTTAGTCTCACCTCTGTCCCTGGGAAGGTGATGGAGAGACTCATACTAGATGTCATCTCCAAACAAGTTGAAGAGTGGGGGGTTATTGGAAGTGGGCAACACGGGTTTACCAAGGGTAAATCATGTATGACCAATCTGATAGCCTTCTATGATGCCATAACCGGTTGGTTGGATGAGGGGAGGGCAGCAGATGTCATCTACCTTGACTTCAGCAAGGCTTTTGACACTGTCTCCCATAACATCCTCATTGGGAAACTGAGGCAGTATGGGCTGGATGAGGGGACAGTGAGGTGGATTGAGAACTGGCTGTGTGACAGGACCCAAAGGGTAATTATTAATGGAGCAGGTTCAAGTTGGAAGCCTGTAACCAGTGGAGTCCCCCAGGGGTCAATACTTGGACCCGTGCTGTTTAATATATTCATCAGTGACCTGGACGAGGGGACAGAGTGTATCCTCAGCAAGTTTGCTGATGATACCAAACTGGGAGGAGTGGCTGACACCCCGGAGGGCTGTGCTGCCATCCAGCGAGACTTGGACAGGCTGGAGGGCTGGGCAAAGAAGAACCTCATGAGGTTCAACAGGGAAAAGTGTAGGGTCCTGCACCTGGGGAAGAAGAATGTCAGGCACCAATACAGGTTAGGGGTGGACCCGCTAGAGGCAACTACTGAAGAGAAAGATCTAGGGGTCCTGGTGGACAGTAAAATGGCAATGAGTAAACAGTGTGCTCTTGCGGCCAGGAAGGCCAATGGTATCTTGGGTTGTATAGGGAAGAGTGTAGCCAGCAGGTCAAGGGAAGTCATTCTCCCCCTCTACTCTGCACTGGTGAGGCCACAACTGGAGTACTGTGTCCAGTTCTGGGCTCCCCAGTTCAAGAGGGACAGGGAACTACTAGAAAGAGTCCAGCGTAGGGCTACAAAGATGATTCAAGGATTGGAGCATCTCCCTTATGAGGAGAGACTGAGAGAGCTGGGACTCTTTAGTCTGGAGAAGAGAAGGCTGAGGGGAGACCTTATCAACGCCTACAAGTATCTCAAGGGAGGGTTGAAGGAGGAGGGAGCCAGACTCTTTTCAGTGGTTCCCACCGAGAGGACGAGGGGCAACGGGCACAAGTTGGAACATAAGAGGTTCCACTCAAATATGAGGAGAAACTTCTTCACGGTGAGGGTGACGGAACCCTGGAACAGGCTGCCCAGGGAGGTTGTGGAGTCCCCTTCTTTGGAGATTTTCAAAACCCGCCTGGATGTAGTCCTGAGTAACATGCTCTAGCTCTAGGCAATCCTGCTTCAGCAGGGGAGTTGGACTAGATGATCTCTATGGTCCCTTCCAACTCTAGAAATTCAGTGAAATTCAGTGAAATTCAGTGAGCCTGTCTTCAGGCTGCCACTTAAAACCTTTCAGAGGTCTGTGTGCAGAAGGCTGCTTTTGATTCTTGTCTGGGTCTAGAATTGTGGAATTATTTTTTTTTCCCCAGATACTTTAATTTTCTTTGATGTCTTAGTGGTAATCCTCTAATATCCCTGGTATTTTCTTTTTTCCTGTTCTGAAAACTTCTTGGAAAGTAAGGCCTGTCACTCTGAGTGAAGAGAAGTAATCCCTTTAGCTATTCTAAGAACTGTCTTGTTAAACACACTTTACTTTGAAGACATTTTGGATGTAGTGATTGCTTGTACACAGTCAGTAATGGGGTTTTTTAGTTTATTTCAAAGAATATGCTCCACTTTTGTTTCTGGATAAACAAATCTACAGAGAGAGAACCTCTAAAAACTAGTTTTGAGAGAGGCAAAATAACCTACAAGATTAAGTATGATTTTTGTAATAGTTAAGAAACCCAGGCCTCTAATGTCCCAAATGCAGGCTCTTCTGTGGATTTCAAGGCAGCCTGTCAATGCCTGCATCCTGCCTGCAAGACTGAGATAATAATATATGCTTGTATTATATATTTATTATGTATAATAACAAATGCCTGTGTGTGACTCTTACTTTGTCCCCTTCTCAAGATGGGAAGAGTTCTTCCCTATCCCGTTCATGCTTTTCTCCCTTATCCTGTCCTTCCCCTCTGTGAAACTCTGCCTTATGCTGGAGGTAGAATTCTAACTTTCAGCTGAATCTTGTAAATCTCAGTTGATTTAGGTGCATAATTCTAGGCCTTCTAGATGGCTTTTATTTATACCCTTGTGTGACTTGGGGATTAATCACTGCTGCTTTGACAGGCTGTTTTTGAGAGAGGGGGCTGTCTGTACATGTGTAGAATTTGAGCTGTCTTGGTCATATTGTGAAACATGTATTCTAAAGATAACCCCCAAATTTCTGTTTTCCAGGAAAGCAATATTTGACACGCCAGAGGATGACCCTAATTACAATCCCTTGCCAGAAGAACGACCAGGAGGATTTGCATGGGGAGAAGGTCAGCGCCTTGGAGGCTAATCTGTGTCTGTGCCAAAACCCAGCGACAACTGGGAGAGACTGACCTGAATAAAGTTCCATCCTGGGGAGTCTCTCATTCCCCATGGCAGAAAGGACGCTTTTTGACGGCTCTATGGTTTTGAATACAAGCACTTTATGAAACAACAGTCTGATCCACAACACTTCCAGGCTACCAGTGTCTTTCCCAGTCAGGGAATTTGTTGTGCTGGTAATGAAAGTAATAATCCGTGGAGCCAAAAAAAACTGAAACTGGAAATGATTTCCTGTCAACTTCAGTTAACAAGACCATGGGTATTTGTTTAAAGTGATTTCTAAAGCATTTTTTATTTTTATCAAGTTATTTGATACAGGAAACTATATGGGAAACTTTACGGGGACAAAAACAACTTTTGGGGTTTTAACTCATTTTTTTTTTATTCTTGGATAAAACAGCTACAAGATGGTTGGAAGTGTAAGTCCCTATTTCAATGGCAAAAGAGTTTTGTTTTTTTAATCTGAGATGCTGTCATCTCCAGTCTGGTTTGAATGTAAGAAGTACACCATGCAGTGTAACATGGGCTTTGTGTTCTGCCAGTTGGGCCTCTGTGTGCATACACTTGAGGGCTGAAATTTTGATGACTTTTTTTCCCCCAAAGACTCTGTGTTCAGACCACCAGGTTCCTGGTTTGTTTGAAAAGGTAATTCTACAAAATGCAGCCCCACACACACATGCACTCTTCTAACAGGCTTAAATGACTTGGGAGCACTAGGGAAGAAAACTTGGCTGGAGTCGGAACTGCTCAAACATCTCAGATGATAAGTTGAATAAAATGTCTTGTGGATCCTTTTTTTGTTAATATTTTGTACAATCCTACAGTCTTGAGGCAGTTGGTGAAAAGTCAGAGGCTGGAAAAAGCAAGTCCTTGAAGAGATAGCTTTAATGCAAGCTTTTCCCATAAGTGTGCTCAAGATGTTGAATTCCTGGTTTATGTCTGACATTTGTTGGGGGAGAACTGTGTCCAGCGCAGGTCAGTGACACCGAAAGAGGTTTAGCTTGAAGTTACGTTGATTATAAATATCTAATTGGGGAATTCAGAGCACAGTTCAGCTCATTGCATTCAGTCGCTCCTAAGAGGCTATGGACTGTACTCAGTGGCCCTTTATTGATTATATTATGATAGATAAAAACAGATAGTGTTGAAACTGCGTCGTCTTCCCAAATTTGGGAGGATAGGTTGACCTGTGACGCACACGTTATCATTTTGCTTAGTCTCAGATTTTGCTGTTCTTAAAAACGCTACAGGTTTTTAACTTGTTTGTAGTCCAGGAGATGAATGTGTTGGGATCGTGTGGGGAAATGCTTTGTTCACAAGCAGCGTGTTAGATTCTGATAAACCAAATTGGTGAGTCCATTTGTATCTGGATTTTATCTGTTAAAAGGTTAATAAAAACTTAAAGGAGACTTATATTTTTTTTTCCCCAAAAAAATCTTGCTCTCTGGGATTATTAAAAGTGTTCTGGGCAGTGTTGCTTCAGGGTAAATTTTGAGACAGGAATTGGATCAAAACCTTTTTTTTTTAGTTCAGTGCTTAAGAGCCTCTTCATAGTTTGCTGGTGGGACGTTGTGGATGAAGCTGAAGGACGGGGCCAGGGGCTGGGACAAACCCTGGGATGGAGATGGCCATGTGCCCCTTCCTGAGGGTGACCTCCTCTTCCAAGTCATGCGTTGGTGCAGCTGCTTGTCCATCCTTGCTCTTCCACAGCTGCTTTCATCACACGTGTCCTCCCTCTGTGGTAGAACATTGAGAGCCGTACCCTCCTCTGCACAGAGTGACGCCATGATGTCACTGTGGGAAGAGCTCAGGAGCATCGCTGACCTGTACCCTGGGACAAAATAGACTTTTGCTGTCAGATTACTGCCTTTAATTGCCCTTGAGACCATTCTCGGGCCGCCTGTCCCACAGACAAGTGTGTTAAATACCACAGTCCTCTTTGGAGGGTGCATCCTCAGCCGGGTGTGGTGACAGGGATCGGTCATAAATTGGAGTGACGTCACCCTCAAACCTGCCTCTCTAATCTAGAGATTATTCCCTAAAAATAAGTCGACTCTGCCCGTTTTAGCTGGAGTTTTGCTCCCGTGGTGGGAAGGGTTTTGCTCCCCTGCTAGGTGGGAAGGGGTCAGTGATGCCCTGCAAATGGCGCCCACAAGGCTCCTGGACTACATCTCCCATGATGCTCCGCTCCGCGCGGCGGGTCTCGTGGGCTGCACGCTAACGCCACGGCGGGGCGCGAGCCGTCTCCCGGGCGACGCGCTGCCTGAGGCGCGGCGTTGGCGGCAGCGGGGCGATGCCGCAGGGCGACGGGGCGCCCCCGGCCAAGCGGCTGAAGGCCGCGCTCCCCTCCCGGCTCCCCGCCATGCTGCCCGCCTCTCCCCCGTCGCGCCGCCACCCGCCGAGCGCCGACTCGCAGCGACGCGGCCTACCCATCTTCCAGGCGCGGGGGCCTCTGCTGAGCCAGCTCCGCGGCCTGGACAACGCTGTCCTCATCGGTGAGTACCGGGAACCGGGTGGGCCGCGGCGGCACCGGCAGAGGGTTCACTCAGCGCCACAGACCCGGGGCTCGGCGGCATCCTGAGAAGGGCAGCGGGTGTCCCCCGTGTGGGGTTTGGGCTGGTCTGGCTGGGCATCAGGGAATGGGGCGGCCCCTGAGAAGTGGCACAGAAAGAATTTGGGCAAAAATCTGAAATTGGTAAATTGGCCATGTTTTTATTCTTGAGCGTTGGTTAAGGCAGCTGGTGACTTAATTTTTATGGAACAGGCAAAAATGTTTCACTCTCCTTTCTGTTTCACCGTCCACATGGAGTTCCCTCAACTGAAAGCCAAGTGGCCACTTTTCAAAAAAACATGTCCTTTTAGAGACATTTTCAGGGGTATTGACTAATTTTGTTATGGCTTCTTTGAGCCCAAGCTAATAAGCTTTTTGCCTGACTTTCGGGAGCTGAAGACATACAGCTGGAAGTCTAAAGACTCAGTGTTTCTTGAAATTCAATGAAAAATGCTTTGTATTTCATTCCTATAAATGAACTCTTGAAAAAAATAAATTAGTCATGGTAACTGATAGATATGACTGTGTTTATCTCCTCCCCTCTGTATAATCCTGAGATTGTCATTATTGCTTGCTAAATATACCCTACAATAACGCCACTTAAAATTTTGCAGCTGTGGAGTGAGCTAAAAAGCTCACTTATGCTATTTCCAGTCTGCAGCTGCGGTGCTTACGATTTGGCTTTCTGATTCCTCTCTGCTTGGTGGGGATCCTTTTGAATCTCTCCCGCTTATTCCTCCGTCTCTTGTCAGTTCTCACCTCGCTCCCCAGCATGCTCCGTGCCGAGGCTGCCTTGCAAGGACTGAGAGCTCAGGGGTCTGATTTCCAGAGCCTCGCACTCTTTCACGTAAAGCAATTCTTGTAACAGGCCAGTAGGAAGCTGAGGGGGGTCAGATTTGAGTCACAGATGTGTTTTAAGCTGTACCAAAAAGTGCAGGAAAACGACAGTGATGTTGAAAAGATTCTCTGCTCCTCCCTACGTGTTGTGCTTCGAGACAGTTTCACTTGCAGTGCCTCTAAGCACTGATTTGTGCTGCTTTATACTCACCCCCAGTAAGTTGCCCTTTTTGTTGCCGATGCTGCAGTAAGCACTGATGGTAGCTGTCTCTCTGCTTTTGCTGATTGCCCTCTTTGGTAGAGGCCATCTGTGTAGACCACACAGAGTTTGTGTTGGAAATACACCTGAGGGGAAAGGGGATAGCGCTTGTCATGTTGTGTGTTAGTGCTGTGTGGGTGGAGAAGACATTCACCTGAGCCTGAAAGGGCCATCTCTGATTTCAGGAAGGCACAGAGGACTTGCTGGTGCCCTGACTGCTCCTCTAAGAGAGTCTCAAACCATAACTTGCTAGTTGCTGTTGTGGCAAAAGCTTTACTTTAATTTGCTTACAGCTCTACTTTGAAACTTCCTAGCATATAGTGTAAATACACGCATGAAACTGAATCAGTGTCTATTCCTTGTTCTGCACGATTACCTTCTTATGTTGGCTGTGTCGCTCAGCAAACACTTCATATCCGGACAGACTGGAATAGGCTTCTGAACCAAAATGGGGCTGGAGAGAACCCGGGTGAAAGGATTTTTGTTGAGGAGTGATCTAGTGACTTGAGCCAAGGCATTGGGCTTTGTCCCTGGCCTGCTGCTGATTTACGGTGTGACTTTGGCCAAGTGGTCCAACCTCTTCCTGTCTTCAGCCTCCTCATCCTGAAACACGATTAAAAGTTAACATAAAAAAAATGAGTTGGGATGTTTCATTTGAAGATGCTGTAAAAGGGAAAAACTCTATTCCTTTGATATTTTTTAGGAGAAACGGGTTCAGGGAAGACCACTCAGATCCCTCAGTACCTCTACGAAGCAGGAATTGGCCGCCAAGGCATCATTGCTGTGACCCAGCCCCGCAGAGTAGCGGCTATATCCTTAGCCACCAGGGTCTCGGATGAGAAGAAGACAGAACTGGGAAAACTGGTAGGTTGCTTTACAAAGTCTTTAGGGAGTTGGTTTAGTACTGCAGTGCCAGTGGGACTGTGTCAGGGTTTAATGGGTAAGATAAACAGACACAGGATTTAATAATACGCCTGAGTAGAAAAACTAGCTTTTTACCTGCTTCTGTGGCTTGGGGTGGGGGTATGTTTGACTCTCTCAGTGGTATTTTACTCCTCGATTATTATCTGTGTTCCTCCATTTGAAAAAAAAATACTGGTTAGGGAATAGAACAAAAAATACTGCATTCTCTTCGATACACATTGCTCTGTGTATCAAAAGTCACTGTCAAGGAGAGCAGAGTGCTGAATCTGTGCACGTCTGTGAATCTCTGGGAGAAAAGTGGAGGGGAAAGAATTTCCCTATATAAAGTCTTCAGAGAGCGTGGAGTAGTTTCTAGCAGGGGAGGAAGGAAAGGAAACATGGAACACTTGTGATGAACTTCTAGTTGGGAAAAAGCCAACTGGGATACAACGTTGAGAGCATCCTTTGGGTGGATTATTAGATTTGCAAGACTGCCTGGTCACGGTTACGCTTTCCGGAGTCTGCTTGGGGTCCTGGTTGGCCACGAGAAATCCAAGTTTAACGATGTGCTTGTACTTTCTGTAATGGTCACTCCCATAGGTTGGCTATACTGTACGCTTCGACGATCTCACGTCTGATGAAACCAGGATCAAGTTTTTAACAGATGGGATGCTGCTTCGCGAAGCTATCGGGGACCCCATGCTGCGGAAGTACAGCATTGTCATCCTGGATGAAGCCCACGAGAGGACGATCCACACGGATGTGCTCTTTGGGGTGGTGAAAGCCGCGCAAAAGAAGCGAAAGGAACTGGGCAAACTGCCACTGAAGGTACGTGCACCTAGGGTGGCAGTGAGGGGCAGGGCTGAGGCTTGGACCTTGAGCTCTATGAGTACCTCCTGAGATTTGCCAAAGCGTTTGAAATTTCAGCCTTGACTGTTTTCCTGTTCCTAAAAAGCCCCTTTAAATCTGAATAGATTAGAACTTGTAATGTGTGGGCTCGGTATAAGGTATCTGAACAAGGTTTCTGGTCGCACCCACGTTGCCTTTTTTTGTAAGAGTCCCTTGAATGTGAGCTGTAGAGTAGACACATTGTTTGGGGGGCTTTTCTACTGTTGCTGAGGGCACAGGAGTGCTCTGTCTGATGTGGCAGCTGTATGACATGCTCACACCGGGGAGCCCATGTCTGTCAGGTGCACAACAAGAATTTATGTGAGTGCATGAGGAGGCGTGTGAGAGCGTGTTGGTTTTGATGGGGAGGGCATGGAGGGGACTGGTAGGGTCCTAGCAGTCAAGAGCTTTGTGCAGCTTACTTTTGTGGGGACTCAGGTCTGTTTATTAAATGTCAGAAGATAATTTTAACATGTCTTTGCTCATGTTATCCTACCAACACATTATGCTTGTGGGATACCAAAGGTGATGGCTTTAACAAGGAAAGATCACTCTCCTGTCCCAAACTCCGTGTGCTTTTCGTTGTTCTAAGCATATATCTTGGATTCAGGAGGCTGGCTTTTGGCTGGTCTGACTGGTAAGTGTCTAAACTGCATTGCTGACCCATTTTATACTCACATTGAAGGTGATCGTCATGTCAGCTACAATGGATGTTGACCAGTTCTCCCAGTACTTCAATGGAGCTCCTGTTCTCTATTTAGAAGGCCGGCAACATCCCATTCAGATCTTTTACACCAAGCAGCCTCAGAGCGATTACCTCCAAGCAGCGCTGGTGTCAGTCTTCCAAATCCACCAGGTATGGTGGTCTCCTCAGGTTTGTGCCTCCCTGGGCTCATGGATTATTGGCTGGGGGTGCTCACAGAAGATGTGGCTGCCAAGGCAGTCCCTGAGGTGCTTCACTGCATCCTCTG